TATATAGGTCATTTCCAAGTAAAGTAAGATTCTGAAACACAGATTACTGAAAACTCATTTCCTCTTACAGTCAAACTGAAGAGATTTTGGACTTTTAATGAATACGTTTGGTGCCACCCTGAGATGTTCTCTATAAGAAAGCAGATATTCTTAGACATTATGACTGGTATTTATGTTCACCAGTCTACAAAATGCTAATATGATGGACAACTTATGGTTGCTTAAGGAAAGTAAGGTGTGTGTTTTTAGTAAGAAAGGTATGAGAAATGTGGGCCAATCACCTTGCTTTGTCCGCCCTGGTTAATTTGTCTCAGGACCCTCCCCTTCGCTACACAGGTACACACTGGATCTTGAAGTAAAGGCTTCTCAGAGGAGCAAAACTCATTTTTCCTGGAGTGATCCTCAGACTTTTACCTCCAAGGAGCCTTTCTGCACTTGTGTATTGTTTCTCTTATCAGACCGGGTTTTTCCTTTCTTTGTCCTTGCCATGATTATTCCCCTGAATTAAGAGACAAACTGGCTGTTACCCTGTTTTTGTTGGCTGTAAATTCCTCAACCTGAGCCCACCTATCTCTTATCTCAGGGCATGCAATGAGGAGGGTAGCTGATTGCAGATGTCCAACCTGCAGCCCATCCAACTCCTACCTCAAAGTTACATTTTATTAAGGACAATGGAAAGTACTTCTGACTTACAGATGGCTGTTTCTAAATGAATGAAGTGATGCTTTTAAGAAAAGAGAGAGGTTTCATGGAAAGTGGACTCCAAGAAAAGAGGCCCCAAAAGGCAAGGTCTTTACATGTTCTGCAACAATCTGTCATTTGACTCCTGTCAATTTTGTTGCTTGACTTTGGGTAGCATGTGATGAGGTGTTTCAGAGGGATTTACTTCCCCTTGTTCCCCTCCTGTGGTAATTCGTGCTGTTAGGTGGCATAGACTGTTGCGTGTTTTATAGAAAAAATCAGAAGTTACTTTTTTTTTTTTGCTGTGCCACATGGCAGTCTGGTTCTTAGTTCCCCATTCATGGAGAGATTGTGTGCCCCCTACAGTGGAAGCACATAGTCCTAACTACTGGACCACCAGGGAGTTTGCCTCAAAGGTTACTTTTGCTTAAAAGATATGTAAGTTTTCAAATTACATTCCTTTATCTTCATAACAGTATGTTTAAAAATTTATTAAAATTTATTTGTTTTTATCTGCACTGGGTCTTTGTTGCTTCAGGGGCCTTTCTCTACTTGCATCGAGCAAGGGCTACCCTCTAGTTACAGTGCCTGCACTTCTCATTCTAGTGGATTCTCTTGTTGCAATGCATGGTCTCTGTGTGTTTGCTCAGTAGTTGTGACTCCCCAGCTCTAGAGCACAGAATCATCACCTGTGGCCTGCAGGCTTAATTGTTCTCAGGCATGTGGGAATTTCCCGGATCAGGGATCAAACCTGTGTGCCCTGCACTTGCAGATGGATTCTTTACCTCTGAGCCAGAAGGGAAGCCCCAAAGTTTGTTCCTTTACATGTATGTTGGAGCCAGTGAACTGGGTGAGTTTAGGTTACTGTGTAGATATGGAGTTGATGTATTGAATGATTATTGTATAAGTAGGAATGTTTCACATATTATTTGTTTTTTAAAAATGATGGTCTTTTTGTATTACACAATATAACTGACATGAACCACTTGTTAATGTCATAAAATACTTATATATCTATCTACTGATAGATTTCTAAGAGGTATTTAGAAAAGTGTTTTTTTTTTTTTTAATTATTTTAGGGAATTCCCTGACAGTCCAGTGGATAGGATTCAGTAGTTTCACTGCAGCAAGCCTGGAGTTAATCCATGGTCAGGGAACCAAGATCTCATAAGCCACATGGTCCAACAACAACAACCAAAATTTATCTACATACATATATATATATATATATATATATATATATATATATGGTTTACAGAACTCTTTATTTTCTCAATGCAGTATTTGTTGAACAATTGCTAACTGCCATTTTTTTTTACATTATTCATTAGAATGCTTCTTTTGCATTGTTTACCATTCCAGTGTATTGCCTCTTTGATGCTTGTTTGCTCAGTTGCTCAGTCCTCTCTGACTCTTTGTAATCGCATGGACTGTAGCCCACCAAGCTTTCCTATCCATGGAAGTTTTTTCAGGCAAGAGTAGTGCACTGGGTTGTGATTTCCTGCTCCAGGGGATCTTTCCGACCCAGGGATTGTATCCCCCTGTGCCGCGTCTTCTGCATTGCCAGGCAGTTTCTTTAGCACTGAGTCACCTCTCTAGTCCTGTATGTTCTTCACCATTTAAACATGTATAAGGATGCATAAAGTGTGTACAGTATACCATTATTTTCTTCTCAATTATGAGAGAGCAATGTGTTTAGGACACAGTAGGATGAGCTTTGAGGTCATGGTGGGGAAATATGTTTTCTTTGTGAACTGACATGAGTTTGCATAAAATGAATGTTTTCTGATTGTGTTTGAAGCTACACTACCCTAAAATTAATTTGAATTGCATATAATCACTCCTTTTAAAGAGTTCTGTTCCTTTAATGTTCTATAGTTTTAAGATCATCATTGCGAAGATTCATAATTTTCTTCAGGATGGATATGACTCATGGTATAATGTCATGTGTTCGACAAGAAATAATTTATTTATGAATTGTTACTAATAGAATACATGTGGTTCTTTATGTCTTGTAGATATATCTCATATAGATCAGATCAAGAAATTACAGGCAAAAGTAAACAGTGGTAAAGGGGAAATTTTTCAAAGAGTGATGTTTGGAAGAGCTGAAAGCCTTGAAATCAAAGATTTTCACCTCAGGGACATCCAGGAAAATATACATGACTTTGAGTGTCTGTGGACAGATGATGAAAGAAATGACAAAGGAATGTCTACTTCCCATAACAAAAACCTCACTGATGGAAGACATTATCCTCGTAGAAGTGATGTAGGAAATAGACCTTTTGAAAGGCACGTATCAAGCTTTCAGAATGAATTGCAGGTGGTACAATCTGAAGGGATAATTTTTGAATGTAGTCAAGTTGTGACAAATGTCAGGGCCACAGGTTTACCACCTCAGAGAACTGGTAATGTCTGCAAAGGCTTTTCTCATAAACATGAGGATGCTGTTATGCATCCTTCTGAACTGTTACCAGACCATGAAACACAAAAGAAAAGACCTTACAAATGTACTGAGTGTGACATAACCTTTCTTCAGGACTCAGAACTCACTGGACATCAAAGAATCCATACCGGACGAAAACCATATAAATGTGACGTGTGTGGCAAGGCTTTCAATCAAACTACAAAACTTGCAATTCATTGGAGAATTCATACTGGAGAGAAACCACATAAATGTGATGTATGTGGCAAGACTTTTATTCAAATTGGAAACCTTGCAGTTAATCAGAATATTCATACTGGAGAGAAACCATATAAATGTGGTGTGTGTGATCACTGCTTTCAACAAAGTACACACCTTGAAAATCATCAGAGAATTCATACCGGAGTGAAACCATATAAATGTGATGTTTCTGGAAAGGCCTTTAGTCAAAGTGCAAGCCTTGCAGTTCATCAGAGAATTCATTCTGGAGAGAAGCCATACAAATGCAATGTATGTGACAAGGCGTTTCGTCATACCGGAAGCCTTACTGTTCATCAGAGACTTCATACTGGAGTGAAACCGTATAAATGTGATGTGTGTGGCAGGACTTTTAGAGTAAATTCACACCTTGCTGTTCATTTGAGAGTACATACTGGAGAGAAACAATATAAATGTGATGTATGTGGCAAGGCCTTTAATGAAGCGGCAAAGCTTGCAGTTCATCAGAGATTTCATATGGGAGAGAAACCATATAAATGTGATATATGTGGCAGAGCCTTTAGGCAAGCTGCAAACCTTGCAGTTCATCGGAGAATTCATACTGGAGAGAAACCATATAAATGTGATATATGTGGCCGATGCTTTACTCAAAACTCACAACTTAAAGTTCATCAGAGAACTCATACGGGAGAGAAACCATATAAATGTGATGTATGTGGCAAGGCCTTTAATCAGTTTGCACATCTTGCAGTTCATCAGAGAATTCATACTGAAGAGAAACCATATAAATGTGATGTATGTGGCAAAGGCTTGAGTGGAACTTCAAGGCTTGCAGTTCATCGGAGAATTCATACTGGAGAGAAGCCATGTAAATGTCATGTATGTGGCAAGTCCTTTAGTTCAAATTCAAGCCTTGCCATTCATGGGAGAATTCATACTGGAGAGAAACCATATAAATGTGATGTATGTGGCAAGGCCTTTAATCAGTTTGCACATCTTGCAGTTCATCAGAGAATTCATACTGGAGAGAAACCATATAAATGTGATGTATGTGGCAAAGGCTTTAGTGGAACTTCATGGCTTGCAGTTCATTGGAGAATTCATACTGGAGAGAAGCCATATAAATGTCATGTATGTGGCAAGTCCTTTAGTTCAAATTCAAGCCTTGCATTTCATGGGAGAATTCATACTGGAGAGAAACTATATAAATGTGATATGTGTGGCAAGGCGTTTACTCGTACTGGAAATCTTGCTGTTCATCAGAGAGTTCATACTGGAGAGAAACCATATAAATGTGATGTGTGTGGCAAGGCATTTACTCGTACTGGACATCTTGCTGTTCATCGGAGAATTCATACTGGAGAGAAACCATATAAATGTGATGTATGTGGCAAAGGCTTTAGTGAAACTTCAAGGCTTGCAGTTCATCGGAGAATTCATACTGGAGAGAACCCATATAAATGTCATGTATGTGGCAAGTCCTTTAATTCAAATTCAAGCCTTGCAGTTCATTGGAGAATTCATACTGGAGAGAAGCCATACAAATGTGATGTATGTGACAAGGCATTTAGTCATACTGGAAACCTTACTGTTCATCGGAGAATTCATACTGGAGAGAAACCATATACATGTGGTGTATGTGGCAAAGGCTTTATCGGAACTTCAAGGCTTGCAGTTCATCGGAGAATTCATACTGGAGAGAAGCCATATAAATGTGATGTGTGTGGCAAGTGCTTTAGTTCAAATTCAAGCCTTGCAGTTCATCGGAGAATTCATACTGGAGAGAAACCATATAAATGTGATGTATGTGGCAAAGGCTTTAGTGAAACTTCAAGCCTTGCAGCTCATCGGAGAATTCATACTGGAGAGAAGCCATATAAATGTGATGTGTGTGGCAAGGCGTTTACTCGTACTGGACATCTTGCTGTCCATCGGAGAGTTCATACTGGAGAGAAATCTTAAAAATGTGATGTGTGGGGCAAGGCATTTAGTCGTACTGGACACCTTGCTGTTTATGGGAGAGTTCATACTGGAGAGAAACCATATAATTGCGGTATATGTGGCAAGCCTTTCAGCGTAAGTTCAAGCCTTGCTGTTCATTAGAGAGTTCATACTGGAGGGAAGCTATATAAATGTGATGTATGTGGCAAAGGCTTTAGTGAAACTTCAAGCCTTGCCTTTCATTGGCGAATTCATACTGGAGAGAAACCTTATAAATGTCATGTATGTGGCAAGGCCTTTAATCAACCTATAAGACTTGTACTTCACCAGAGAATTCATACTGGAGAGAAGACATGCAAATGCAATGTATGTGACAAGGCATTTAGTCATACTGGAAACCATACTGTTCATGGGAGAGTTCATACTGGGGTGAAACCATATAAATGTGATACATGTGGCAAGACTTTCAGAGTAACTTCACACCTTGCTGTTCATTTGGGAGTACATACTGGAGAGAAACAATATAAATGTGATGTATGTGGCAAGGCCTTTAATGAAGCTGCAAAGCTTGCAGTTCATCGGAGATTCCATAAGGGAAACAAACCATATTAATATGATATATGTGACAAACTTCAAGCCTTGCAGTTCATCAGAAAATTCATACTGGAAAGAAACTATATAAATGTGATGTGTGGCGGCAAGGACTTTAATCAGACTGCAAAACTTGTTCTTCATCAGAGAATTCATACTGGAGAGAAATCATATATATGTGATGTATGTGGCAAGGCGTTTGTTTGTACTGTTAATCTTGGTATTCGTCAGAGAGTTCATACAGGAGAGAAACCAGATAAATGAGGTATATGTGGCAGGGCTTTCAGTGTGAATGCAAACTTTGCAGTTCATCTGAGAATTCATACTGGAGAGAACCTTAGAAATATAAGAATTGTGGCAAACCTTTTAGGCACAGTCATCCATAATATCATTAGGCAGTTCAGACAGGAGAGAAACCATATAAATATGATATATGTGGCCGGTGCTTTACTTGAAATGACGAACTTAGAATCCATCAGAGAATTCATACTAAAGAGAAACACTAGAAATGTGACAGTTGCGAGAAACATTTTATTTAAAAAAAAATTTTTTTGTTAGTATATATTACTACAGTTTATTAAATAATGACAAGATTTATGCCACATTTTCCAACAATGTTTAAATAAAGAGTTCAAAATATAAAGGCTTATGAAAACTTTTATAGTCTTTAATAATAAACACTATTTCTGGTGTATGAATAAATACAGAAAACAGAAGCCGTTCTTTATATCACAATCAGCCAAACTTAGCCATCAATGATTACACAAATCCACAAGCAAACAAAAACAAAATCCACTTTCTTCATTTAGGTTATGAAAGCTAAAAATCCCTTTGCTACATTTAACAATACCTAAGGGGATGGAGGGAGGGAACTTACAGTCACAGCCTGGAGACAAGGGGACCAAATCTCCCAGTCTTTCAAGTTCTTCCTTGGTTAGAAGCTTCAACGACTGCATAACTTTCAGGGAACAGAAAAATCAAAACAGGTTAAGACTCGGTTCTATAAGGTATTTATAATAAGTCTGCAGTGAAGAAATACAACATTTTTGTCTTAAAAATGTGCTTACCTTTTACATAGAGGTTTGGTTTTCTTTTCATCCTGGTATGAACATGAACATATTGGAATAAACTGATATAATGAGTAGTACATGAAATTCAATCTTTTCACAGTCTTCAAAATGAACTCACTTCTGTTTTAGGAATTATATGTACACTTATAATGTTATCTACATTAAGGGAAAAAAAGAGTGGCTCATAAAAAGTCATCCTTTAAACTGAAGGAACCTAAAAGTGAAAGCCTTTCTATATAAAGCCCTTACATCAATGGAATGTTCTGGTAAGAAGAGAAGTCTCCTCTCTAAATATATGATTTAGTACAAGGGACGAGGCCTGAAGAAGTTCAGCTCTCTAGTATCACACCCGGAGCCGGTCAGTGAGAACTAGACTCCCATCTGAATCTTGAAGCGATCAACACCTACTTGCCCCTCTGACCTCCTCCTTTCTTGTCTTAGCTCTTACTTTGGGAACAGAAATCCTGCTTCACAAAATCTTGTTTTCAAAGTCAGCATTAATATAGAAGGCAAGGTGAGAGAGGCCGGGAGAAAAACTGCCCAATCCCCAAGAAAAATCTGCATGCCTTCTATTCTGCTTCGAAGAAGGAAGCAGTCCAGGGGCTGGATGGACTGGGAACCTGCATATACCGCAAAAGTGCCTGTCCTGGAGCCCCAGTAAGTACGTATTTACTGTTACTCTGTGAGAAACATTTTAGTGCAAATGTCGTGAGTGGTGCAAAGCCTTTAATCAGTGTTCAGGCCTTAGAATTAAGAGTTCATATTGTATAGAAAACATGCAAGTGAAATGAATGTGGCAGAGTTTCTAGTGCATGTTCAGCATGAACTGCCCATTAGGCATTTCATAGAGGAGAGGAACCACATACATGTTATTTATGTGGCAAACCCTTCAGTCACAAGGAATGACGTTGCAGATCATCTGAGAATCCATACTGCAGTGAAAACTTACACATGTAGAGAATGCAGTAAAATACATCAACTTTTTGACCCTCAGAAAATTCAACCTGAAGGAAAACTACACAAATGTGTTAAGTGTGGGAAAGCTTTGATTCTATGTTCAGCTCTTAAGTCACCATCAGTAAATTTTTTTTTTTTTTACAATATTGTGATGGTTTTTGCTGTACATCTTGAATAGGCCATAGGCGTACATACATCCGTTCCTTCCTGAACCCACCTCTCTTGTCACTGTATCCCTCCAGATTGTCACAGAGCACTTGCTCACACATTAAACTCCCACTGGCTCTTTTACATATGGTAATATATATGTTTCAGTGTTAATCTCTTAAATACTGCCATCCTATTTCTTTTGTATATTTCAATAGTTTTTCCTTAGCGTTACTTTTTCTATCCACATGTTATGACCCAGATCTAATTTAATTTACGTTTCTTTCCTGCCTTCCACTAACAAATACATAAGTCTGTGGGTTATTTTTAGACTTTTGTAACATTATAATGCATGTAGACACTGACAAGGAACATAGTAGGTGCCCTGTAAATGTAAAGAAAGACAGTTCCTTTAAGACTTGAGTTCAGTTAGATAATACACATAGAAATATTTATAAATAGTGCAACGTTGATAATTTTGGTGAAAACAAATTCTAGTGTCTTAAGGCTTTATATTTGACAATGTGCTTTGTTGTCCACAAGTGACAGATCTTTCAGAAACAGACAACAAAGACATGAGAGAAAATATATTTCAATTTTTCAACAAGAAGTAAATTGCCTAATCACTGTCAAGTGATCATATAGAAATTTGACATTCCATTACATTGAAGTATTGGCTTAAGTATTATATATTATGATGTAAACAAGTTTTTCTCATATAAGTTTTTGAAGCTTTGTCATCATAGGCATGGAACGGAAACTTTTATAAAGAAGAATACATTTCTAAGTTTTTTCTCTCAGTTCAGTTCAGTTCACTGCCTCAGTTGTTTCCGACTCTGCAATCTCATGAATCACACCACGCCACGCCTCCCTGTCCATCACAATACTCCCAGAGTTTACTCAAACTCATGTCTATCAAGTCGGTGATGCCATCGAGCCATCTCATCCTCTGTCGTCCCCTTCTCCTACCCCCAAGCCCTCCCAGCATCAAGGTCTTTTCCAGTGAGTCAACTCTTCACATGAGGTGGCCAAAGTATTGGAGTTTCTGCTTCAGTGTCAGTCTTTCCAGTGAACACCCAGGACTGATCTCCTTTAGGATGGACTGGTTGGATCTTCTTGCAGTCCAAGGGACTCTCAAGTCTTCTCCAACACCACAGTTGAAAAGCATGAATTCTTCGGTGCTCAGCTTTCTTCACTGTCCAACCCTCACATCCATACATGACCACTGGAAAAACCATAGCCTTGACTACACGGACCTTTGTTGGCAAAGTAATGTCCCTGCTTTTTAATACGCTATCTAGATTGCTCATAACTTTCCTTCCAAGGAGTAAGTGTCTTTTTTTTTTTTTTTTTTGGCGTAAGCGTCATAACTTCATGGCTGCAATCACCATCTGCAGTGATTTTGGAGCCCCCCAAAATAAAGTCTGACACTGTTTCCCCATCTAGTTCCCATGAAGTTATTGGACCGGATGCCATGATCTTAGTTTTCTGAATGTTGAGCTTTAAGCCAACTTTTTCACTCTCCCCTTTCACTTTCATCAAGAGGCTTTTTAGTTCCTCTTCACTTTCTGCCATAGGGTGGTGTCATCTGCATATCTGAGGTTATTGATATTTCTCGTGGCAATCTTAATTACAGCTTGTGCTTCTTCCAGCCCAGTGTTTCTCATGATGTGCTCTGCATATAAGTTAAATAAACAGGGTGACAATATACAGCCTTGACATACTCCTTTTCCTATTTGGAACCAGTCTGTTTGTCCCTTAATCTTTAAAATTTATCTTTGGCTCTGCTGAGTTTTCATTGTGCTGGCTTCTTTGTCTTTTTGCAGCAATCGGGCTGTGAATTCTCCTCATGAACTTGGCTGGGGTATGATTGGAGACTGGCATTTTAATGCTTCTTTTGGTCAGTCCAGGAGAATCAATGTCTTCTTGTTTTGGCTGTGCTGAACCTCTTTTTGCTGAACCTGGGATTTCTCTAGTTGCAGCAAGCAGAAGTGACTTTCTGGTTACTTGTGTGCAGGCTTCTCATTTCTGGGACTACTGTTGTTGCAGAGCACAGGCTTTGGAGCACAGGCTCAGTACTTATGTTGCACGGGCTTAGTTGCTGCGAGGCTCATGGTATCCTCCCAGACCATGGATCAAACCCCGGGTCCTGTGCATTGGCAGGTAGATTATTTACCACTG